CTGATGTCATTTGCAACTGCGTGCCCTGTTTTGCAGCTCAGCTTTCCACAGTTCACTGGTGAATTGCACATCCCGGTCACTAACTATAGACTTAGGCAGTCCGAAATCTTTGACCAGTTTTCTTTGAACAGCTTGATCACATACTCAGTCTTAGTTGTTGCAGGCATTGTGACTAATCTAGCTATCCACAATGACATAGACGTAGCACATTCCACTCTTGCTTGTGACCAGCGTATCCATGAAGTCCATGGACAAGCTCTCACCAGGCCTTTCCGGAATCGGAAGGGGCTTCAGAAGCCCAAGAGGAGCCTGTGTTCGTGGCTTATCCCTCTGACAGACCTGACAAGTCTCCACGTACAGCTTAGCGTCTTTCATCAAGGTGGGCCACCAGAACCGCTGCAGCAGATTGGCTGCTGTCTTTTTGTAGCCAAAATGTCCGGTGGCATCATGACACTCACCTATAAATAAACTACGCAAAGACTCTCTATCCGGCACACACAGACATTTATTCCCTTCCTTCTCAAGGAACAGCAGTCCGTTGACCAACTCAAACTTAGTTGAAGTCACCTTGTCCTTCGCCTCGATCCTGTGTATGATCTCAACCATGAAGTGATCCTCGCGATAGGCTTCCACCACAGAGCGAGTGACATCATCCGCAAGCCCGAACTCAGTGATCAGCGCACCAGAGAAGTCTGGCCTACGCGACAACGCATCAGCAACCTTGTTGTACTCACCTTTGATGTACTGAGGCTCAAAGTCATACTGCTCAATGACTTCGATCCAGCATTTCAGCGCATCAGGCTGGGTCCTCATCCACTTCAGGGTCTGATGATCAGTCCTAACGTAGAAGAACCTCCCAAGGAGATAATGCCTTTACTGGGTGAGCGCCTTGTAGATCGCATAGAGCTCCTTCTCATAGGTGGACTTAGCCAACTTCTGAGAGGGCATCTCTTTGGACATGTACTCGACTGGCCTAAACTTTGGCCCCTCCTGCTGCGCGAGCACGACGCCTATGCCATATTGGCTAGCAGCCGTGGTGACTATAAACGGCTTGTCAGGACCGGGAAGTTTCAAGACCTCATGGTGTGTCAGCACATGCTTCAGATGTTTGAAAGCAGCGTCACACCTGTCTGTCCACTCCCATGGGGTGTCAAGGCGAGTCAGGTCAGTCAAAGCGGCGGCCACTATGCTATAGTTTTTCACAAAATTGCGATAGTAGCCGGTCATCCCTAAGAAAGACCTCATCTCAGTCACAGATTGAGGACGCGGCCAGTCACGAATGCTGGCCACCTTCGCCTCATTGGGCTTCAAACCCTCCGCGGAAATCTCATGACCCAAATACAAGATCCGGGTGCGACTAAACTCGCATTTCTCCCCGTTGATCTTGAACTTGTGTTGCCAAAGGAGACTGAGGACTTTGTCTAAGTTCGCAACATGCTCCTCGACAGTCCTACTAAAAATAAGTATGTCATCGAGGTACACGATGATAAACTTATCCAAGTAGTCATTAAAGATCCGATTCATAGCGTGCTGAAAGGTGCCAGAAGCATTGCAGAGGCCAAAAGGCATCACCACAAACTCGTATAGAGCGTACCTGGTCTGAAATGCGGTTTTGTGTTGATCCTTGGGCCGGATTGCAATCTCATGGTACCCGGACTTCAGATCTATCTTATTGAAGTACCGACACCCTTGCACTCCATGTAGCAAATTGTCGATGCGCGGTAGGGGCTCTCGGTTCTTGACAGTGATGGCATTGAGCCCCCTATAGTCAATGCACATCCTCAGCGTACCCCATCCTCAGCATACCTCCCTTCTTTGGCATTGGCCCGGTCACAGCGGGATGTCCGACCAGATTGACAACCGGAAAAATCCAGACATCTGGTCCGGTCCGGGAATAAAAAAAAAAAAAAAAAAAAAAGAAGGTTAGTATCATTGACTAGAAGGTAGGGATAATGACCGAGGAATGGATATTCAGTTAGAATCTGGACATTGACCGGCCGGTGAGGCTGCCAGGCGGCCCTCCCCCGTGCCCCGCCATGTACAGGATCCACAGGCTGTGTGTCTGGGTGATGCCAGTAAGCTTCCTGGCCATCAAGTGCACCCTGCAAATGAGTCATGGTTTAAGGGGAGAGTGGCCGAAGCAACCCACCCCCCCTTGTGTAAGCGACTAGAGCCGCAAGGGTGGTTGCATCTGACTCTTGTCTGATCTACTCTTTCTTTTCCTCTCTAGCTGCTTCTCATGTACTTCTCGCTTGCCGGTGATGAGCAACCGGACTGATGCCCCCCAGAATAGATGGGGCTTTGTTTGTTTTGAAAAACTGGTAATAATAATAAAAAGGCTTACAACTTTACAAACAAGGGGTGAATTGGGCCATACTAAAAGGGCCTTTGCGATTCAGACCCGTAAATGTGACCCCCACATGAAAAGGGCGCTCTTGGCCTGAACTCAATTTCATGAGCAATATTCCAAAAGACAAGTTCCTGAGGCAAATGTCGCATCCATAATGAACTGAAAAGTCGTTTTGAACAGTCACAAGCAGGTCCTGGACGAACAGGTATTGGACACAGATTTCAAGACTGAGTTAGGGTCATGTCTGCTCGACGATAAGTCGTGTCTGTTCGGCAATAAGTCCCACGGGTCAGTCCTGATTCAGACCAGGAGTCCAAAAGACAAGCCCGATGGCCCAAAGCAGCAGCAGACCATGGGAAGAGATACTGGGACACACACTTTGCAACAACAGGCACTGGGCAGGAGTCCCAGACACTTGGAGGCCGAGTTCAGACCTCACCAGTCCAGTCCAGCACTATAAAGGACTGGCCAGCCTCCTCATTTGGCAGATGCTCATTTCGCATGAGAGTGTGGAATTGGTGTGGCACTTGTGCGCCAGATGTGTGTGAGCTGCACTTGGCTGTGAGCAGCGCTAAGTGTGAGAGAAAGAGAAGTGGGGCGCTGGCTGGAAGGAAGGCAGCCATAGCTGCGCCAGTGCCAGTTAGTACATTAGTAGGGATAGTTAATAGAAGAGTCCAGTGAGAAGTATTCAGAGTAGATCCTCGTGTGATAGGGAGTGTGCATGCATGGTGAGTGTGAGTAGACAAGAAGTATAGTCAGAGAGAGAGAGAAGCAAGGGAGAAGCGAGTTATGGTGAAACTTACCTGTTGAGCTCTGTACTGGATGAAAGGCTGCTGGTTTGGAACTCATGTTTAATGGAAAGGACTTGTAATTCTGTTGGGTGCTATTCATTCTGAACTCGTGATTCTCTTTCTTCAATCTGGTTTGATAACTAAGTTGCGTTTTCCTGGTCACCACTCAATTTCCATTGAATTTCGTGTGAGTCAATGCAATCTGCGTGATCTGTATTGCATGCATGCTATGTGGTAAACTCCAGCAAGTGAAGTTCAGTCAGGTTCCTTGCAAATTTGGTATCGGAGCGAAACTTGTTACTCTCACTGGGTTGCGCTGGCATGATCAAGGTCGGCGAGAAGGGGATAAGCTGGCTTGAATATTGCTGGCAAGAAGCGAAGTAAGAGGAGAAGTGAAGAAGAGTTGGATTGGGATAGAAGGGGAAGGTTGCCAAAGAAGAAGGGGTTAAGGAGGAGAAGACTTACCTGCGATTGGAGCGATCGGAGCGAACGTGGAGTCTATATCAACGGCTACAAAGAAGAGATGCACCTCCTGCCCCACCTACCTTGTTGATTGTGAATTTGTGTGTTGTGTATCTCTTTCCCCCCCTCCATTTTGGTGGTCGCTGCTGCTGTCTAGACGAAACCCGTGGCCCGGTCTGGTCTGGCAGATAGGGCTAGAGAGTCAACATCTGGTCTTCGTGTTAGCCATCTGGTATGTCGAGTAGTAGGGAACATAGGTTTAGGCTGGGAACTTTGTATTGCCACGTGTAAGTGGCCGACAGCAGAAATAATCGTGACAAATTGGATCTGCTTTGAAGTAAGTTTGAGTATCTCCCAGCTAACCATTTTGATAAAAGTGACCAGCCAGACCATCGAAGTCATAGTAGGAAAACATCAGCTAAGTGACTAAACAAACAGCAAGCAAACAAACAAAAGAAAGAAAAGAAAAAGAGTTCCTATTTTACATTTGGTTAGGAAAACGTTGTATATTATTTGCATTATTAAATTTCGTTATTCCGAAGCAGCGACATCCAGACTTAAAAAAAAAAAAAAAAAAACAGCTCCCATCCACTCAAGCAGACTAGGTTCTGGGGTAGCTACTTGGTGGTCCAGCGGAGGCTTCCCCTGTGCTATACCCCATCATGGATGACTACCCCATGTACGGGATGGTGGCTCTGTCTGTTCTTTTGGGGCTATTATTCCGCTTCTTCTTCCCTCTCGGCTTCGGGAGAGTGTGCACCTCCCACGTGATGATGAGATCCGGATCCGCGAAGCCCGGACTCTCAGCGGCAGAGCAGGCAGAAGTAGATCGTCGCTTGGCCGAGAAGAGGAAAGAAAAATAACAGAAAAGGAAACAAAAAGAAGCGGAAATGAAAAAGAAAGCTCAGGAGGAAGAAGAAAGAATGAGAAAAGAGCTAAAAGAAAAGTTGGAAAGGCAACTGCAGGAAGAGTTGAAAAGTTTAGAAGAGCAAGAAGAACCTGAAGATGAGGGAGACAGGTTAATCAAGCATCGAACTGAACGAGGGGAAAGCAGCCAGCCCCGAGGGATTAGTATTGACTTAAAACCATTGAATTGGTTGGATCAGTACGGTTTTAAAGGTGAGATGTTAGTTGAAACTGAAGAAGAAAGAGATACTTTTATTGCAAAACTCGCCTCAATGGAAGACAAAGCAGAGAAAGAATTGCTGCTAAAAAAAAAACAGGCGGAGTTGCACAACAAAATGTTGGTAGCAAAAAGGCAGGAAATGGAGGAGAAAAAGAAGTTGCAGGCAGAGAGGGAAAGATTGCAGCGAGAATTACAAGCCCAGAAAGAGACACAGATGGCCACTGAGGAACAACTTGCCCTCTTGACTGAGACCGTATTGCATACTAAACAGGAATTGGCTGCTCTAAACAAAATTGTGCAAAAGGTAGAACATCACCAGTTTGAGTTTGAGGGGATTTGGAACACCTTCCTGCAGAGATCTGCTCAAGAGGTAGATCAACATATGCAAGCGTATGTCGACAAACTAGATGAGCAGATCAGTAAAACTTTGACCCCCGCCGTGATTGAGAAACTAGTACGTAGCGACGGCGGAGGAGGAGGAGATGGAGATGGGGACAGAGATAAGAAGAAAAAGGGCATGCAGCAGGAAGACGCAGGGGAACTCAAAAAAATAAAGGTAAAGGTGTCGTGGACATACACCGACAAAAAGGAAGAAAGTGTTTTGCATTGGATTGTTGCGGTTGAGTCCTATGTGTACGGGCAGCGTATACCGTATTGGGACAGGGTCCTCGTGGCTAGTTCGTGTATGGCTGGAGATGCAATGAGTTTTGCAATTTCCCTACAGAAAGAGGCATCTTGTCAGTCTATGGTAGAATATTCCCAGCAAACCCGTATTGAAGATTTCTTTAAAGCGGTCCGGGAACGATTTGAAGATAAGAACTTAGCCCGGAGAACTGAGATGTTAATCTTGAATATCGCAGATAGGAAATGAAAAAGTGTATCCGCACTCAAATCTACTATGGATAAACTTCTGCAATGCGCTGAGCATGGGCTCACCCCGATGCAAATTCTTAACAACTTTGCTAGAGAACTACCCGATCCTCTCCGTACTCAATTATATCCCCGTACCAAAGAAGAAGGGATGACCTATGAGAAGTTTAGCAAGATCGCATTAAATCATGCCGGTTTCTTGGCGGAGGCAAACTACTGTCATTATCGGAAAGATCTGCAGGCCGGCAAGAAATGGCAAAATCGTACCATCTCAGAAAGTATTCATGGGAAAGACAACCTCCTTCTAGCCTTTGAAGAAGAAGGTGTCGAAACTTTTTCCGACGACCAGATAAACTATGGTCTGGAGGGAGATTCACACAACGGATCGGTAGTTCAGGAGGGGGACTACGCGACCGTTGCAGCCCGCGGGGGAGGGCAACAAGGAAAAGGATAAACAACCAAAAGGGAACAACCAGTAGGGGTTTTAGTTGCATCTACAGGAACTTCGAATGCAAGCAGACTGACATCCTCCCATTCGAAGGTTCCCGTGGCATAAATTGAAAAGTAAGCGATCCCCACCTAGTCAGCTGTCCAGAGGTAGTTGCATCTACAGGAACTTCGAATGCAAGCAGACTGACATCCTCCCATTCGAAGGTTCYCGTGGCATAAATTGAAAAGTAAGCGATCCCCACCTAGTCAGCTGTCCAGAGGTAGTTAGTGTATGTACCTCTCTAGGGGTTCAACACACAGCTATATTAGTTAGAAAGGTCTGCAAAAGCTGCATCTAGGGCTAAAGGTTAAACAGTTGGAAGAACCCGTAGTAAGTAAATTAGCGAATAGTAGCGAGATTGTGATGGATAGATATGTTAAGGGGATCCAGACATACTTTCGGCTCGAAGCAGAGGGGACGGTAGAACGTGTTCTCCACTCTCTGACTCTCTTGGTGGAAGACAGTCTCCCTTTTGACATTCTCTTAGGTATAGATTGGGGGGAAGCTGCAGATGCGGATGTGAAGTTGAGGGACCATGAGTGTTGGCTCCCTAGTCCGCAGGGTGGAAAGAAGAAAATCCGCCTATTTCATGAATCTGGTAAGGAAAGCAGCTTGGCTCATTGTTGTATGCGTGCCCCCACGTTCGCCCGTCATATAAAGAAATATAATATGTTTGACCAAGTATTTGTGGCATATGTGTACCCAGTGAAGGAAGGGAAAGTTAAGGAGGAAGCAAAATACCCAGAAGTTGAGAAAATTCTAAACGAATTTGCAGATGTGGCAGAGACCCGGAGCGGTGTAGTAGAACGACCAATCAAGCATCACATTGAAATTATTCCTGGAAGTCAGATTCTAAAGGGCCCAATTTACAAAATGTAACCAAAAGAATTGGATGAACTGCAAACCCAACTAGATGAAATGTTGGAAAAGGGTTGGATTAGGCATAGCTCCTCACCCTATGGTGCACCAGTGCTATTTGTGCCAAAGAAAGATGGCGGGGTCTGCATGTGTATTGACTATAGAAGATTAAATGACATAACTATTAAAAATGTTGAGCCATTACCCAGGATTGATGATTTGCTGGATCGAGTTCAAGGTAGCAAGTACTTCACAAAAATTGACTTGAAGTTTGGCTACCGTCAAATTGAAATAGAACCAGAAGATCAGTATAAGATTGCCTTTCGTACAAGGTATGGACACTATGAATTCATTGTGTTGCCCTTTGGTCTCACTAACGCACCTGGAACTTTTCAGCGCACAATGAATGAGCATTTTCGTGAATGGCTTGATAAATTTGTTGTTATATATCTAGATGATATCTTGATTTTTAGTAAAAGTCTAAGTGAGCATTGTGAGCACCCTCGACTTGTGCTAAATAAATTACGTGAGGCAAAGTTGAAATTGAACCCCAAGAAGTGTGAGTGGGCAAAGCGTCAGGTATTGTATCTAGGGCATGTACTGGATGGAGGCGGTATGAAACCAGAAGGCCCAAAAATTGCAGCTATTCGAGACTGGCCCAACCCGCGTACGTTGACGGAACTATGGTCGTTCCTTGGGTTGGCTAATTACTACCGTAAATTCGTAAGACACTTTACGATGATTGCTGCTCCCCTTCCCAAACTATTGAAAAAGGAAACCATCTGGAAGTGGGATCAAGATTGTACGTCTTCATTTAAGTGTATAAAAAAATGCTTGATTAACTATCCGGTTTTAAAAGTTGTTGATCCTTCTTTGCCCTTTGTTGTTACTACCGATGCCAATCAGTACGGGATAGGCGTTGTACTCCAGCAAGATGACGGGAATGCATACAGGCCTGCCGAATTTATGTCCCGACGACTGCCTAGTGAGAAGGTCGCCGCTTCCACATATGAAAGAGAGTTGTACGCACTCTAGGAAGCTTTGGACCATTGGCGCCATTACCTCCTAGGTCACCACTTCAAAGTGTACTCAGATCATGAGACACTTCGCTGGCTGAAAATGCAAGCCCAGATGACACCTAAACTGACCAGGTGGGCTGCAGAAATCGATCAATATGACTTTGAACTAAAGTCTGTAAAGGGTAAGTATAACATTGTTGCTGATGCATTAAGTCGAAGATCTGACTTTTTTGGTACTATTGTAACTTACTTGGACATAGGCACTGATATTCAAGAATAGGAATGCTTATTCCACCGATCCTGTTTATGGCGCTATGATAAAACGTATTCAAGAAGCGACATAAGAGTTTCCTAACTATCGAGTAACCCAAGGACTATTGTTTGAAAGAACTGATGTGCATGATAGGCTTTGTATTCCGGACAAGGAAGAAATCAAAAGTGTACTCTTGGGGGAATGCCATGATACCGAAGGTCATTTCGGATGGAAAAAGACTTATGTTAATCTCTTGCGTTCCTACACCTGGGCTCACATGAAACCTGATTGCATTTCATATGTGCAAGGCTGTCAAGTGTGCCAGCGAAACAAAAGCACCACACGACCTCCCCTTGGTCTTTTGAAGCCTTTGCCTATCCCAACAGGTCCTGGAGACTCTGTGTCTATAGATTTCATGGACACTAAGGTGAAAAGCAGGAATGGGAAAAACTAAGTCATTGTAATTGTTCATAGGTTCAACAAGTTTGCTGTTTTTGTAGCATTCCCTGCGGACGCTAAAACTGATTTAGTAATTCGAGAATTCTTTAATCACTGGATAAAGGACTACAGTCATCCCTTGACTATTGTTAGTGCCAGAGACTCTCGGTTCACCAATGAACAATAGCAGCAACTAACGAGCGTCAATGGCTCTAAACTGACGATGTCGTCAGGCCGACACCTGAGACAAATGGGCAGATTGAGCAAATGAACAAGCTCCTGCAGTAGACGCTGCGTATGTACATTCGTCCCGACCAGATTGACTGGGATGAACATTTGCCCAAGGTTGCTAGTGCCTACAACAACTCTGTGCACCTGACTACTTGCAGAACTCCAATGGAGTTGCATTTGGGATGGAGTCCTCGCAGACCTATAGACTGTCTGAACCCGGATAGAGCGCATAGACTTCCGCCAGGGACCAGAGAGTTCGCAATGCAATATCAGAAAGATTTAGAAAAGAAAAAGGAGAACATAATAAAAGCGCATCATCAAATGGTTGAACAGGCCAATAAGCACAGGAGACCTTCTCAGTTTGTTGTAGGCGATCTGGTTTGGGTAAAATCAAAGGAGTTTATCCCAGAAGAGAACATATCTCATAAGTTGTTACCTGCCTACAGAGGACCGTGGCAAGTATTGGATGTGATAGGGGATGTAGATGGACCCTCCTATGTTATTGAAATACCTCCACACGTGCATACCTACCCGGTGTTCCATGCGTCAAAGCTCCTACCTTGTGTGACTAACGAATTGTTCCCCAGTCGCAGATCAGCAATTCCTCCGAGCATGGATGGGAAGTTTGATGTTGATAAAATCGTTGCTGAAAGGACTATTCAGACTGGAGGCAGAGGTAGACCTCAGCGGCAATATAAAGTCAGATTTGCATGTAAAGATCCAAGTGAAGACCGCTGGTTCAGTAGAGAAGAGCTAATGGAAACCGCACCAAACATAGTATCTTACTATGAAAGAGCAAGAAAAGGGGTCAATGTTGTGGACAGATAAGAGTTTCTCAGAGGACTTCGAAATTAGGCCGGCGAGAGTAAAAGGGCCTTTGCGATTCAGACCCGTAAATGTGACCCCAGCATGAAAAGGGCCCTCTCGGCCTGAACTCAATTTCACGAGCAATATTCCAAAAGACAAGTTCCTGAGGCAAATGTCGCATCCATAATGAACTGAAAAGTCGTTTTGAACGGTCACAAGCAGGTCCTGGACGAACAGGTATCGGACACAGATTTCAAGACTGAGTTAGGGTCATGTCTGCTCGACGATAAGTCGCGTCTGTTCGGCAATAAGTCCCACGGGTCAGTCCTGATTCAGACCAAGAGTCCAAAAGACAAGCCCGATGGCCCAAAGAAGCAGCAGACCATGGGAAGAGATACTGGGTGACACACTTTGCAACAACAGGTACTGGGCAGGAGTCCCAGACACTTGGAGGCCGAGTTCAGACCTCGCCACTCCAGTCCAACACTATAAAGGACTGGCCAGCCTCCTCACTTGGCAGATGCTCATTTCACATGAGAGTGTGGAAGTGCCGTGGCACTTGTGCGCAAGATGTGTGCGAGCTGCGCTAGGCTGTGAGCAGCGCAAAGTGTGAGAGAAAGAGAAGTGGGGCGCTGGCCGGAAGGAAGGCAGCCATAGCTGCGCCAGTGCCAGTTAGTACATTCGTAGGGATAGTTAATAGAAGAGTCCAGTGAGAAGTATTCAGAGTAGATCCTTGTGTGATAGGGGGTGTGCATGCACGGTGAGTGTGAGTAGACCAGAAGTATAGTCAGAGAGAGAGAGAAGCAAGGGAGAAGGGAGTTATGGTGAAATTTACCTGTTGAGCTGCCTGGAGGTGCCTGGTCTCAAGCTAGGTCCATGTACAGCCAAAGGGTCCAGCGTTTGTAAAACGCTGGACCCTCAGGAACAACAAAATTTGACGAGTTTTCGGCCAAAAAACTCAGTTTCATTTTCATTCAAAAAATAAACAATGTCCATTTTGACGAAATGGTCGTTGCTGGTGCTGATGAGCGCCAGGCTTGGAACTCGTGTTGGGTAGAAAGGACTTGTAATTCTGTTGGGTGCTACAGATTCTCTTTCTTCAATCTGGTTTGATAATTGAGTTGTGTTTTCCTGGTCACCACTCAATTTCCATTGAATTTCGTGTGAGTCAATGCAATCTGCGTGATCTGTATTGCATGCATGCTATCTGGTACACTCCCGCAAGTGAAGTTCAGTCAGGTTCCTTGCAATACCTACCTCAAGGCAGTATCCAGCCTATGCACCTCTCTCTCTGTCTCTCTCTCTCTCTCTCTCTCTCTCTCTCTCTCTCTCTCTCTCTCT